GGGGGTGCCGGGACTCACAGGAGCAGCAGAGGCCCTGCTTGCGGACCCCCAGCAGCATGGTGCGGCAGAAGTTGCAGTAGGCGGGTTTCTTGAAGTGCTTCAGCCTCCAGGCATGCTGCCCGTCATCCTTCACGTTCTGCAGGGCAGGAGAGCAGAGGGCGAGGGGGGTTACTCCCCCACTGGGGGTCCCAGCCCACCATTTTTATCAGCTTTTTGTCCTGTAATAGCCTCCAGTGTGTCTGCAGGAGTTTGCTCCCAGCAGGACCACAGGCTCCCCCTGCTCCCCTTCTCCCCGGTGTCCCTCAAGCATCCCAGCTGCCATGTGCCCCTGCTCCCCGGGCACATCCAGCTCCTGGCAGTCCTGGCACTGAGCTCCGACTCCTTGTGGCCCCTCGGCACAGCCCAGCTGCAGGGATGCTCTGCTGGTGGCTGACGGGAAGGAGGTGACTCCACATCTGGGACCAGGCCACCGCCACCACGGGGTGACCAAAGCAAGCTGCTTACATCCGGGTCTAGGCACAAGCACTTTGCAAAAGCCACTTAAAATTCCCTGTTTTCTTGAATCTTCCTGCCAGAAAACCTGCCCCGTGGGAAGCAAACACCAGAATGGGCACTGGGGAGCAAAAACCCACATTTTGCCTGCAAACTCCTACCTGATGGACAGGGATGCACCTCAATGAAATGAAGTCCAAAAGCATGAAAAAACAACACAGGAAAATAAAGGGTGGCCCCACCCCACCCCACCTCTGCTCTTTGAAGCTCACCTCTGGAGAGGAGCTGGCATTTTAGGTGCTTATCTTATGTTTTGATTAAATATTCATTGAACCGGAGTGTGCTACAATAGCAGGGAGTGAGCCCAGCCTGCTTGGCCACGGCAGCTGGCAACGACCACAGCTCAAAACTGAGCTTGTGAAGATTTGGGGGGTGAAGGCCGGTCAGCAGAGGCAGGGCAGGGGTGTCTGCAGGGGCCGGGGACCGGTGCAGGGCTGTGCGGTGCCGGACGGGCATGCGGTGTGTTGCCGGGAGTAGGGTGCCCTCCCGTGGCCCCTGCGCGCCCTCCATCGCTGCCTGCCTCTCCCGGGCTTTCCTCCAGGAGCGGGCAAGGTGGCTGGATACGGCCGACGCAGGTCCCCGCATGGGCACTCACCGTCTCCATTCCCAGGAGCACCAGCAAGGGGATGGTGGTCATGCCGCCTCGGATCCACTCCTCCAGTGTCACAGTTCCATCATGGTCATAGTCGATCTCCTCCATCATCGCCTTCAAGATCTGGAGGAGGGAGGAGATGTGGTGACAGAGCAATGCCGCCCATGAACCCTGGCTGCCAGCTCCAGCCAACAGCCCCCGTGCCCCACCCAAGCCCTGGCACTCACAGGCTTCAGCTCGGTGGAATCCCACTCCAGGTACTCGGCCACGTGCACCATCTGGTTGATGATACGATCCAGCTCCTGAGCACAGAAAGACGATGGCGCCCAGCACTTAGGGACGGCTTCGGGCACAAGTGATGTGTCCAGCCTCAAGCACCCAAACTGAGGACATACCAGGTCTATGTCCCGATATGCCCAAGGCTGCCCCGGGCCCCCACCTGCACAGGGTGCTAGTGACACCCCACTTCTAAGTGGGTGCTGGGTGCTGCTTTCTCCTCTGAAAAATCTGCCAGAAAATCTGCAGGTTTTCCCTCAGTAAAACTGCTCTGATAAAACAGATTTTTATTTGCAATGGATTTCATGGGAGATACACAAAGAGAAAACATCCTGGGGGAGCATTGTGCATGATTTTTACTTTTCTGAAACACCATGACCTCATGTAGAGCTACAATTACTGGCAGGGGGGTATTCTTGAGCTGCTGCTGGATGCTGCAGAGCTGGTGTGCATCCCCCAGCCCCGTGGTCCAGCCTCCCAGCAAATGCTCCTGCCTTCCTCCTCCTTTCCCATATCCCTGTTTAGCTTATAGAGTGCCTCGCTGAGGGAGCAGGCACCCTGATAGGGCCCTGCATGTCTCTGGCCCCCCGAGCGGCCCCAGCTTTCTCTCCCAAGGGAAGGCTTACCGAGCTGTCCAGGAGGCCATTTCCATCAGTATCATAGAGGCGAAACATAACTGGAGGGAGAAGAGAGCCGGCTGCCGGTTAGAGCCCAGCCCTGGGGCACCCCGGCCAGCTGTAGGATGGGAGCAGCGCTGCGCCAGCTCAGCCCGGGCAAGATGTGGCCTGAGCCTGTACTAGGCTGAAGGGTATTGGAGGGAAGCCGCGACCCCCCTGGCTGCCCCTCTGCCAGACACGGGTGCCAGCAGGCAGGAGCAGAGGGGTGATGATGAATGGGTCCTTTTCTAGCAATAACCCACCCAGGAGCTGGAGCCAGGTTTCCCAAGTGGTTTTAACATTTCAGTATTAAAAAGTGAGCAGAAGCACCCAGCCCAGCACCCCTCCTGGGTGTACCCCCCAGATGATGCCTCCCACCACTGGTCCGCGCTCTACACAGTGTGACCAGCAGCCCAGGACCCCAGGGCCCTACTTACACTCCAGCTT